TCAGAGTGGTGTCATCTGCATATCTGAGGTTGTTAATGTTTCTCCCAGCAATTTTCACCCCAGCCTTGCATTTGTCAAGCCCTGCACATTGCATGATGTGTTCTGCATACAAGTTAAAAAGGTTGGGTGAGAGGATACAACCCTGCCGTACACCTTTCCCAATCCTGAACCAGTCTCCTGTTCCGTGGTCAGTTCTGACTGTTGCTACTTGGTCCTTGTACAGATTCCTCAGGAGAGAGACAAGGTGGCTTGGGATGCCCAGACCACCAAGAACTTGCCACAATTTATTATGATCCACACAGTCAAAGGCTTTAGAATAGTCAATGAAGCAGAAGTAGATGTTTTTCTGAAACTCCCTGCCTTTCTCCATTCTCCAGCATCCGGATATTGGCAATGTGGTCTCTCGTTCCTCTGCCTTTTCTGAACCCAGCTTGAAATCTGGCCACTCTCGTTCCATGTCTTGCTGGAGTCTTCCTTGCAGGATCTTGAGCCTTACCTTCCTGGCATGAGAAATAAGGGCCACTGTACGGAAGTTGGAGCAGTCTTTCACATTTCCCTTTTTTGGTATGGGGATATACCATAAGTTGATTTTTTCCAGTCTGATGGCCATGGTATTATTACTAAATGATATTATTACTACTATTAAATTGTAGTATTACTATTATTAAATTTAATTATATGGTGTATATATTCAATTTTATCATACCTATTTACTGTATTATTATAAGTGTCTTATTTAACTTTAAGTGTCTTATTAGTAGAGTTTTAGTCAGTTGTATCAAGCTTTGCTGTTTAGTTCGATCTGGTGGTATGGCCTAAGGGCTAATCAATAAAATGTATTTATTTATTTATATTATTATTATTATTATTAAATGATATTATTATTGTCGCTATTAAATTATATTATTACTATGAAATTATATTATTATTGCTAGACTTAATGTCAGGGGAAAATCTTTACCTTTAGTTATTATTATTATTATTATTATTATTATTATTATTTCTGTATCAATGTTAGAAAAGAAATGTTATCTGAAAATGTTAGCCACAGATGCAGGCGAAACTGTCAGTGACTTCGGCTGCACAGCAAGGCAGGAACACAATCAATCACAGCCACTTTAGGCTATAAACTACTTTATTTACAGCTATATAGATTAGAAGCTACTTAACACTCAGCACACCCTACCGTAACATCGCCAACACACGAACAGTCTGTTATCAGTACTAGTCCACACCTCTTGCATTCTAGAGTGACGTATGACTTACGATGCTGCGTCCATTTGCTCTATATACTTGATTTATGACCTCTCTAGGAATGCTGTTCCCTCCATGGTTCAGTTAACTCTTTCTACACAGGAATACATTACTCTTGGCACATAGCTACTGCTTTTTAAACATACATACTTTGAAATCTACATTATAAATTCCAAACAACTTCAACAGAAATATCAGGAGGAGAAAATGCTGCTAGAACACATTGGTCATGTAGCCTGGAAGCCACACAACAACACCCAAGTGATTCTAGCCTTCGACAATACAAGCCCCCATTAGCCTCCGGATTTAAGGAAAAGCGGGTCTCAGTACCACGATTGACCCCCGACTCACCCGGATGTACTGGAACTCCTCCACGGGGGACTCTGACTGCGGGGACATTGAGGGCGGGCTGCTGAGGCCTTCCCATTGCCAGAACTTCCGGGTGATGAGGAGCAGCTTGTTCCGGATGGCGGCCACAACCCGCAGCTCGTTGCCGTGGTGGGTGTTGATGGCATACAAATGGCAGCCTGGAAAAGAGAAAGAGATTTGGGGCTACCAATGACAGCCTAGAAAGAATATCTCAGGAGTAAACATTGTCAGAGAGAATGGGAGTGGATGAGCAACCCTTTTGTGAATCACAACTGACTGAAGGCCCGCGGGTCAAATCCGGCCCTTCATATCATTATATGTGGCCCTTCTCCCAATGTTGGACTACAACTCCTGCCTTCCTCATCATTAGACATTATCATGGACTAAAGCTGATGGGAGTTGAGATAAAGTCTCCCCTTTGAGGGAGATAAAGCAGGGTATTATTATTATTATTATTATTATTAATAATAATAATAATAATAATAATAGTCCTAGACACTTGGGAAGTGTTGCCCTGAGTTGCCCTGAGTTGACTTTGGGCTGAAAAGAGCAGGATAAAAATGCTGTAAATAAATCTATATAAATAAAAATGCAATGTTCGTTTGTGGGATTAACATAACTCAAAAACCACTGGACGAATTGACACCAAATTTGGACGCAATACACCTATCAGGCCAACAAATGACCATCACTCATAAAAACACTGAAAAACACAGCAGAAGGGACTTACAAAGCCAAAAAACAAAAAATACATTACGACGCATGTGCAAAACCACATATACACAAACACACACATACACAAATATATATGCATATATACACACATAAATCACATAGACTGAGCCACAGCAACACGTAGCAGGGGGCAGTTAGTCACTCATAAAAAACATTAACACAGCAGAAGAGACTTAAAATGCCAAAAAAGCAAAAAGATGCTACAGCAAATGCGCAAAAATGACTCCCTTTGGCAAACAAAACACACAATAGCATATCCACACTCTCTTCCAGACTACAGCTCCCAGTATCCTCTAGACCAGGCCTTTTAGGAGAGGATGATGATCCAAATGCACTGCTTCCAAGCTACAGGCTTTCTTCTTGGATTTCTTTGAGAGCATCCCAATCCCTGCATATTTCCAATTTCCTATTCCTGGACTGCAACTCTCAGAAATCCTCCAGATAGATAGATAGATTAGACAGAGATAGGTAGGTAGATAGACTGATCAGGAAGACTGCTGGGAGTTGCAGACCAAGAATAGGTAGAGAAGGAAGAAAGGGGAGAAGCTCGGACTGACCCTACCGTTGTTCTACCTGACCGCTTACGCGCATTATTAATTACATCACCCCATGGCCGTCCTTAACAGTCGCAGCCCTATTGTATTAGATTTTTCTCCACCGGAGGGAAGGTTAGCCACAGCAACGCATGGCGGGTACAGCTTGTAAATGAATGAATAAATAAAAATTTAATCTGTTTAAATGCTGTTTGGGAAAACATGCACGAAAGAAGACACAACAAGAGAGACCCTTGAAGGGTGGAGAA